ATTTTACATTTAGTCTCTGACCCTACAGAATACAACTAAAAAAAAGCACTTAATGCTGCAAATCTTACAGGGTCAGAAGGGAGTACAGGGTAGAAGGCAGTTTTATTCTGAAGTGACTTTTTGCAACACTTACTGGTTGGAGCAGGTAGATCAGCGAGCACTCCTGGATAACTATCACTGGAAAAGGAGTGATGTTTGTTGCGTGAAAAAGTGTTTCCACTGATGCCATTGTTTGGTCAAAGCGTCCTCCAAGTCCGCCCAAAGTCACAATCACATCAATCTAAAAGATAAAACAAAAAACAGTAAGAAAACTTTCAGTTATGATTTCTAGACCCTGAAAATCTACAGCAAAATCACTTTGCGGAAATAAAAGAAAAAAACCAAACACTACTGACTACATAAAAGCAAATACAATTATTTACTGTCATTACTGATAAGTACCATTATGCGATTTTTGAGGCTGAGTATTAAAGCTCATCACATTCAAGGCCAACGTGGGGTACTTCTAAAAATACATATAACTGTTTTCCTTAAAATACAGGCCAGCCTTTGCAGTTACTTATCTGTGTGCTCTGAATATATGGAGCCTTAGATATATCACTCCACATCTTAGCCCCCCAGCTAAGTGTGGGGTATGTGAATCTTACTATTCTTCATCCCCACATCTTAACATCGTTTCATTATTATCCTCTAGTTTATGGAGCAAATAAGGGAAATTTCAAGTTAGGGCCACTGTCTACCATTCTCGTTTCTGTCACACAGCATTTTAATGCACAAGCAATCCCACTCACAAGCTGGCTCTACTCAAGATAAGAAGTACCATGGAAGTAGGAGGTTGCACCCCAAGTGACTGGCACATCATCTCCCTGCTGACAGGGACAGGAGTGCTCTCCTGTCCCATCCCAGAGCTGCAGAGAGCACTGCCTGGCTGCTTGTAATACACCACAGAGTCAGACTACTGTTGCTCAATTCTCTCACATTCCATCAAGCCTCTCCTGTAAGCAGAAAGGAAGTCTTTAAGAGCCTTGACTAAGAGCTTTTGGTTCCTCAGATAAAAGGTCACTGAGTGCAAAGCACTAACATTATTACTTCCAAAATGAGGATCAGTTTTGTTCAGCAATTGTATTTTAAAAAGCTACCACTGAGTAAGTCATACCCAGAGCTCTAACACATTGGAGCAATAGTGTCTTTAGAAGCTGCCTTGACAACGGCCATCTGGTGAAGCTTCCAACTTTATAGGGCTCAAGTCTATGGCCACTGTGATTACATGAAGTTTTACTCAACCCAGGAGCCACATAATGGTGCTCTGTGTATCTGGAATGATGTATTAATAATATCAGCTTCTATTTTTATTACTAGGGCTAGGGCTTTATGATCCTGTTGAATATTGGTTTGCATTAAAATTAAACGCTTTTCCTTTTGGTGAAGAATGATACCACCTTTCTCAATACCACCAGGAAAATACTTGAGAAGTCAGACTGGCTTGATATAACACATCATATTAGCAGCAAACACTTAAACAAAAGCTATGATTGTACTGCAGACAGTATGTATTTTGTGCGCAGATTACAGATCACACGGACCTAACATACAATCAATACAATGTGAATGGTAGGAATACCTATCCTTAAACAAGAGACAAAACAGCAAAATCTTTTTACTCACAGTCATGGCCAGTCAAACAAAACCAGTTTGTTTCTACGATGGAATCAATTAAACGAAAATTGATTATGGCTTCGCCCTAACATAACAATTTTTAGATTTAAAGTATGACAGAAGCGATCTCCAAGTCCTCCTCCTTATTCAGTAGTGACATGACAGTAATTTGTGGACTGGTGACAAAAATTAAGATAATAAAACCAGTCTAGCATGGAGCAGATCTGCTGAAAAGGCATTCATAAAACAGAGGGTTGGGGTTGTGGCATGTTGAGAGGATATCTGAAAAGCCAATGTAGCTGTTGTTTAGGGTCTGCACAGCTTGTGAAAATGAAAATACAAGTACATGACAGGTAAGAAAACAAAAACAGCTGGAGTATGGTGTAGGCAGAGAGAAAAGTTAAAATTCTGCACTTCCGTGATGGTTGACAGTCCTTTGTTTCACTGGATAGTCCTGGCAGCAGTGACAGGCATCCAGACACTGTAGGACTGCTAAAGTCTTTATTCGAAGGCAGGCACACTTCATTTATCTAGTAAAAACACAGAAAGACTAAGTCAAACAAAACCCTGGAGACCTTTTTCATCCTAAAGCTATCGTATCCATTAAAAAACCCCACAACACAAAAATCACAAACTAATAAAACAATCAGTTCCTTCCCTGCAATCACTGTTCCTCTTGCTCTGCCTAGCAGTTAAGAAAATGAATGTGCCATGAAAGCACATATACGACTCCTGGTCATTCCAGAACCTAAGACAAAGTGAATATCAAAGCACAGGACATTTATATATTCCCACACTTCAGACAAGAAAGGCCATTCATTTTTCTACTATGATTTCCTGTATAGCACAGGCTACAGAATTATACTGTTACTCCTAATCAGCCCAGCAGGTAGCATTTAACTAACACACTGTACTTCAATTCAAATGTCCATATTTCACTTAAATGTCCTGTCACAAGTCCCCTTACACCATTTGTTTTCACACAGTGACATTAATTTCCTGGAAAAAAAAGGATATAAAATCCTAAATAACTACAAAGAAAAGCTTAGATTGTTGCAGGCACCATGTAGAGGGCACCGTATTCTCTTAGACTATCTATAACCTGACTTCAAATATATTGCACAGCATCTTTAAAGGCCATCAAGCTTTAATTTAGAAAGAGCTGAAGATCTAATGGTGGGATTCAGTCATCTTCAGATGATACACTTACCCATTAGTATCTCTTGAAAGAGTTTTAGCAGTCACTGTCAAACAGCAGGGTAATTAAAAGGAAAAGAGAAGCGTAAAGGAAGATTTTGTGATGGCAATTCAAGAATGTATTTCTTCCTTCTACCTTAAGCTGTAATTCACAGGGTGCAATAAACAAGGGGAGCTCAGGCTGCCACCACATCAGAAAGCAGGTTCCTGCTTCCACTCTCACAGAGACTATTGAAACTTACTGTAAACTGTTTTCAGGCTGCTAAACACTATCTTCCTGTGAAAACTGTTCCAGCTGACATGCCAGTTTCTGATATGGATGAGTTAAATACAAAGAAAGTATTCATTATATGACTGAGGAACATGTATTTAAGGAGAAGGGCAAAAGGACACAGGAAGCTATGGCACTGGGGAAGGATGAGGAGCCAACAGAGACTTTATGGGTTAAGATTAAAGGTAATGCAGGCACACGTGACATTGCAGTGGGAGTCTGCTACAGGCTGCCTGACCAGGAGGACAATATAGATGAGGCACTCCACAGACAGATAGGAGCAGCTTCATGGTATTCATGGGGGACTTCAAACACCCTGATATCTGTTGGAGGAACAACTCTGCAAAGCACAAAAAATCCAGGAAGTTCCTAGAGTGTGTTAATGACAACTTCCTTTTCCAAGTAATCAAGGAATCAACAAGGAGTGCTATGCTGGACCTTGTTCTCACCAACGAGGAAGGACTAGTGAGGGTTGCTAAGCTCAAGGGCAGCCTTGGTTGTAGTGACCAAGAAATGGTGGAGTTCAAGATGCTTCGGGCAGAAGCCTCTCCAGGGATCTGCCTGAGACAATGTCTTGGGATAACGTCCTGGAGGGAAGAGGGACCCATGGAAGCTGGCTAATAATTAAGGATTATCTTCTCCAGACCCAAGAGCATTGCATCCCAACCAAGAGGAAGTCAAGTAGAAACTCCAGGAGGCTGGCGTGGATGAGCAAGCAGCTCTTAGAAAAGCTCCAACTTAAGAAGGAAGCAGACAGAGGGTGGAAGCTCGGGCAGGTACCATTGGAGGACTACAGAGAAGGAGTCCAGCAGCTAGGAATCAGGTTAGGAGAGCCAAATCCCAGATGGAATTAAATCTCACCAGGGGTGTAAAGAGAAATAAGAAAAGCTTCTATAGGTATGTTGGGGATAAAAGGACGACCAAGGAAAATGTAGGCCCTCTCCTAAAGGAAACGAGACACCTAGATATGCAGGATATCGAGAAGGCTGAGGTTCTCAGTAACTTCTTTGCATCAGCCTTTTCTGGCAAGTGCTCCAGCCTCATTGCAAAGGCCCCAGGAGGTGAAAGCAGAGACTGGGAGAATGAATTAACTCCCCACTGTAGGAGAAGAACACGTTTGTGGCCATTTAAAGAACCTGAAGGTGCAGAAGTCTATAGGACATGATGAGATCCATCCACAAGTCCTGAGGGAGCTGGCAGATGCAGTTGATAAGCCTCTGTCCATCATATTTGAGAGGTCATAGCAGACTGGTGAGGTTTCCACTGACTGGGAAAAAGGGAACATAGCCCCTGTTTTTAAAAAGGGTAAAAAAGGAAAACCTGGGAAACTACAGGCTGGTCAGTCTCACCTCTGCCTGGCAAGATCAAGAAACAGATCTTCCTGGAAAATCTGCTAAGGCACATGGAAAATAAGGAGGTGATTGGCGACAGCCAACTAAGGGCAAATCATGCCTGACCAATCTGGTGGCCTTCTAGGACAAGGCTACAGATATGGTGGATGGTGGCAGAGCAACTGACATCATCTACCTGGATTTGTGCAAGGTGTTTCACACTGTCCTGCATGACAGCCTGGTCTCCAAACTGACAAGACATAGAGTTGACAGATGGACCACTCAGTGGATAAGGAACTGGCTGGATGGCTGCACCCAGAGAGTTGTGGTCAATGGTTCAGTGTCCAAGTGGAGGGAAGTGATGAGTGGGATTCCCTCAGGGTCAGTACTGGGACCAGTGCTGTTCAACATCTTTGTTGGAGACATGGACAGTAGGATTTTCATTTGCTGTTTGCTGATGATACCAAGCTGTGTGGTGTGGTTGACACCCCAGAGGGAAGGGATGCCATCCAGAGGGAGCTTGTCAGGCTGGAGAGGTAGGCCAGTGTCAACCTCATGAAGTTCAACAAGACCAAGAGCAGGGTCCTGCACCTGGGTTGGCACAACCCCAGGCACAAATACAGGCTGGGGGGAGAATGGCTGGAGAGCAGCCCTGAGGAGAAGGACCTGAGGGTGGTAGTTGATAAGAAGCTCAACATGAGCCACCAGTGTGTGCTGGAGCCCAGAGAGCCAAACACATCCTGGGCTCATCAGGGGAAGTGTGGCCAGCAGGGCCAGGGAGGTGATTCTGCCCCTCTACTCTGCTTTGGTGAGACCCCACCTGGA